ATCCCTCTACTGGGTCAACGACAAAATAGTGTCGTGTACTGCTTTATTCTGTTTTATTTTGTCTTTTGTTTTTTACTGGCACGTACCCCCGCCCCTTCCTTTGGCCGTCGACCTGCCTCCATGTAGTGGGAGGCTACCCCCCCAGGCTGGTGGTGCGGCCGTTCCACTAGTCTAATTATTTATTTTATTTTATTTTATTTGTTTCTGATTATATTTTGTTTTCTTGTATTTTATCGCTCTGCTGACCCTTGGGGTCCATTTTATTTTGGTATACCTTTTCTAGGTACGTTAGCCTGTGACCACGGAAATTGGCCGAGTCAAGTGATGGATTAGTACGGAGAGATTGAGACAGAAGGAGGTACTGGATAGAGAGACCGGGATGGTTTTTAATGTGAAGACAACAACAACAACAACAACAACTGTAAGATGTAACCTTCACAGGGCACACAGCGCAGTGTCTATTGACAGCTTGCTGGTTTTAGGAATTTAAGGAGAAATATATAATATTGATATAAAATCATGGAAGATGGAAAGAAGGCTACAGCAGTACATCACTCGTTTTTCAAACCTATAGATTTTTGAATTTCACGGGCAGTAGGTGTTTCACGCCGTTTTTTTAGAATTTACAAAAAAAAAACTTATTTGACCCTTTGGGGTAGCGTATCAGTGATGCTTACAGTAGAAGAGAATGGTACACCTGGTGCATGGTAGGTAGGGCATAGCGTTCAGTTTGTATCGTGTAAGCTGGTTTCCTGGTATGTTTGGTGTTGGTAATCAGCATCAGTAGAGCACGGAAAGTGTTCAAGTGATATAGTCTACATCCAATGTGGCCATTATTGTTGTCAACTTCCCCGGTGTTCCTCAGAGCGGTTTGCCGAGACATCTTGTCGCAACCATGTCGTAATCCCGTTGAAGAGCATCCGTCATGAAGGTCAGCAGTAGCAGCGAGTGGAGGTTGGTCTCTCCGTGTGGAGCAGTGGTGTGGACATATTACGGAGTACGGCGAAGGATACAACACGTAAAAATAATACAACAACAAACCCGAACCGGTATAATTCCCGCCGTGCAACATTTCTCGCGCCTTCGGAATTACTTGAAATTAGTATAGAAATAAAGTTTGTGTATCTAAATCGAAAATAAAACGGCCGATGGAGGACAGGCCTAGGGCCTTCCCGACTCGGGAAATGTTGCAAAACTTTTTGCCCAGATTGCAACTTTTTGCTCCTCGAGAAAAGTTGCAGAACTGCAACTTTTCTTGCAACATTTGTGAGCCATAAAAACCGGTCTAAAAACGGCTGCTTGTCCGGGTTCGCCGGAGAGAAAGCGCCCCTGGCATGCCCAGACGTTCATTGACCACCAAAAGCGGCGGAACTGTAGGCAGAGCTCCTCTGCGCATATCTCCATCAAAAAGTGGCTGTACGCAGAATGTCGATCTCCTTCCTCACTCCTCCGACGTCTGTTTCGGCATACCCGACGAATAAACTCTCCCTCTCCCAAACACAAAACAGCAGCTATGTGGGAAACAGATGAACGGCATCGAGTTCCTCTATCTTCCACATCAGGCAACGTGCAGACAAGATTTCGGCATTTGATACTGCTGAAGGGGGCGCAATCTTGCGCACAAGGCGTTTTTCCCTGCAACATCTTTCAGCTGATTTGTAAAGCTTGACGGAGGAGAAAAACGTCTCCTCGCGGACAGAAAAATCCCCCGGAGAAAACAACGGAGACAGTGAAGGGCAAGTGGTTGTGGTGGGCCGC